TCTTGAAAAATAAAATCTACCCTAATACCTATACTGGTTTCCATGGAAATATGCAGTGACAAGGTTTTTTCCCCTCATCTTCTCTGCCAGCCTACCATAGTTTTGTTCAAACAGTCCTGGTAGCTGACTAGGTTTACCCAAAAACAAAATTACTGCAGATGTGCCAAACTTGCACAAAGCCAAATAGAGAGCTGTTCAGCATGACCCCAAGAAAGCATCCATGCAGCAAGACTGCTGCCAGTCCTCAACACAGAGACAGACAATTCTCTGCAGATCCCTTCAGCCAGGGACCAACAAAATCTTTTAATTACTGAGGACTGACTGGTTTCAGTGAGACAGCAAACAGCACACACCATGGTGTTTCCCAGCAAGATGAACACAAATAACAACTCACCATCAGCACACTGGCCTCAGACTCCAGCTTTACATTAGAGTGAAAGCTATAGTACTTGCAATGCAAGTCTCTCCCCAGAGGCTGCCAAACATTTTGCTTCTGGCAGTAGCCCTCTGCATCGCCCCCCACCGTATGTCACCATTCCCAGCTACCTCCTCACGCCCCATCTCTTCTCTGCTTCCCTGCTCTGGGCAGCTGCCCCAGCCAGAAGCTCCATTTCCCTGGGGACCCCAGTGAGGGTGAGCCACAGATGTCAACATTAGGCAAAGCCTCTGGGCTGTGACCCGTGGGGATGGTGCCCCAGCTTTGGGCAGTTACTTTGAAGTCTCTCAGGATGCTGTGCACTCACCACACCAGAACAGCCTGGCATGGGGAAACAGAGGAGGGATGCCTTGCCACGTCTCTCAGCAGGCAGTCTGTGATGGCAGGAGGAAAGCAAATGCCATCCTGCCATCCATGCAGGAAGGTATAGGGCAAGCTGTGCCAGGACTGCAGGCAGAGCAGAAGCACAGAGTGACAAAAACAAAGGCAAAGTGTGGGAAATATAAAAAAGGAACCAACACTGAAATCTCACATAGGACTTTGGCTTTTGTCAGGTTGTTACACTGATGTTGTGGCATGCTGGGCTTTGGACCTTGGCTATCAGACTAGCCCAGTGCATAAAGTCAAATGGGACTTTATGTTCAGCATTACCACAGAGCAGGCTGTAAAATCACTCAGGTGGATGGGCTGCAGGACTGTAAACAAAGGATTATGGCATGTGACGTGGCTGTTCAGAGGGAAGGAACCAAGGATACCATGGTGCTGGGGATCAGTAAAACATTAGACTGACTGCCTCATTAAAGTTTTACATTAGTGCTTAAACCATCCAGCTGACAAAAGAAGGTTGGGCTGGAGAGGTACTGGTGTGTCCTGGGAGAGGGGCAGGAGCTGCAGCTGGGCAGGGAAGGGACATATTTGGGCAGATACTTGGTGCCTGTGACCCAGCAGCAGCTAGGAAGAGAAGGGCAATATGCCTGAGAGATGCAAGCAAAAATTGTGTCAGAGGCCTCCCTACTCTCCTCTCCCCAAGGCTGTCACTTTCTCCTTATCCACAGGGTTTGGAAAGGTGCAGGAATATTCTGGCACAAAACCAGGAAGAATCTCAGGAAGAGGGAATAGGCTGAGAGTTCAGGTAGCTACATAGTAGGTCAGGGTTGTCCCAACAACAGTATAAAAAGCCTGAGACAGAGAGTAGAAATTGCAAACTAGATGAAGATAGGATTCAACCTGGAAAACAAAGGCTATTTAGCAAGGAGGAAATAATTCACCAACTAACATTCCTCTTGGCAGAGGAGGGAAGAGTTCTGGAAAGTCAAACTATATTGATCTAGCCTTAGGAGAGCTAGAAAATTAGAGAAGGGGACACAAAGAAATTAGCTAGACAGGAGGACGGCAACACACCAGCACCAGGAATGTGCACAGAGCTACCCTGCCAGGCAACACAAAGCTGAGTGCTGGGCAGGAACCCACTGCTCAGTTCAGGGCTGTGGCTACCATGAGAGTCTGACACACTGGGAGGAGACAGAAGGTGATAGCTCCCTGTGCAACCGTGGGGGGTTGGATTTGTGATGATAGTATGTGTTCTTGTCTCTGAGGGGACATAGAAACAGTTTACAAACATTTGTAAGGCATACACCCAAGCAGGAGGGAGTGCAAATTACTTAGAGAAGACTAAACAAAGAGACGGAAAAATCAAAGCTGAAGGTAACTCGGAAGCCTTTACCAATGAGCTGCAGTAGGTTGTGAAATAGCTCTCATGAAGAGAGCAAGGAAGAACCCAGGTTTGGGTAGTTTTAAAGTTAGATGGGAAGAAAGTAAATAAGACATGAGCAATGGAAGGCATACGGAAGAATTTGTTGAAGTGATACAAAAATTTCCACCCACTCAATCTGTAGTTCCAGTTTTCCACTGCCCCACATCTCTTGCTATCATTAGTAGTGATGCAAAACTAGAAATGTTTATTAAAGCATAATGTTATAGTACTGCTCCACCTGAGCACGTAGATTTCTAGACATATCTAGTGAACAGAGAATTAGGCTTTATAATTGTGTCTGGGAAAATGACTCACTAGCAGTGATCCACTTAAACTCCTCCAATGATCTCCTTCCCCATCCCAAAACTCCTGTAGTCTTGATGAGATAGGGATATTACCCCATGTTTGGATAGTGTGTGTTAGCGTCTCCTAAAGTCACATCCAGCTGCTTCTAAAAATCTCCTGATAAATCCCTTTTTAATTGCATTTGGGAGACCACTTACAGGTCTCCCAAAGATACACATGGAAACCTGAAAAGATCAAGGCCCAAATACAGTCTTGATGAAGGCTGAAATAGCAACATGCCAAAAAGCTGGGAGGAGCCTACACCTTACCTGGCATATGCACTTAGCAGCTTAATCCTCCCCATGAGGAGGGAACACAGCTATGGCTCGACAGTGCTACAGCAAGTATTAATGGTTAGCCCCATCAGCCAGAAGGCTGGGCTCTTCACATGGCAGAGCTGTTGCCTGGCCTCAGGATTTTTCACGTGACTAATAACCAAGCTTTATAGCTGTCCCCTGCAGACTATCATGATGATGAATGAATGAGATCAGATCAGTCAACATGGTTTATTGGTGGAGTTTGCTCACTTGCTGTGGATGCATCATTACCCTGTGCATTCATCAGCACAGTCTTTGCCTGTACAATATGAAATGACAACCAACCTTCTGCTCATCAGCTTTCTGCTAAGAACTCCCAAGCCTTTTTGGGTCCTTCCTTTGCTCTGTATCCTTGTCCTGGGCCATCCTGGAAAGTTGTTCGGGAAGTACCATATCCTTCCTTATTAAAGCAAACCATATTAAGGTGCACCTGTAGAAGTTAAATGAAAAACTGCTGAAAAACACTGAGTTCATAACACAGTGATTAATGGTGCATTTATTACTCCTGTCTGCTGCCTGAAAAAATCAAGAGTTGCTCCACTAAGTGGCACAGATGCTCTGCAGCTCCATAAGCAGCAGTGATCCTCTTTTGGCTGAATGGTATTTCCAGAGCAAAGCATTTCTCAACTCCACTGAGGCTGTTGAGCCCAGGATTCCTGTAGAAACCAGAGATATTTCAAAGTAACTGCAAGCACCACATTCAAACTGGGTACTCAAAAAAATGTACTGTACAGCCTGACACATCTTTGCATCAAGCAATAGCTTACACCAGCACAAAAGGGAATAAGGTTTCATGGCTGGAAACTGCTTTGAACTGAAATCTGAGAGCTTTGCCATTCCTTTCCAGCTCTGGCGTGAATTCCCTAGGCAGCCCAAGGCAGGCATCTTCATCTCCCTGGGGCTCAGTTTGCCATCTGTAAAACTGGGTTAGCATCTCCTGCTCCTTCTTACACCCTTTTTATCCTTGTCTATATTAACGGTAAATACAGATGGGCTTGTTTGTGTGCAGGTACAATGCAAAACTAGGGGCACGACCATGAAAGTGCCGCTCATTTAGGGACGGTCTGCAGGGAAAGACGCGAGCTCGGAGCGGCAGGTGCAGGGCAGGACGCACGGATTAAGGGATGCGCACACAGGGAGTGGGGATGCCCGCAGGGCAGGATGCTCTCCTGGCGGGCCGGGCGCTTCCCCGCCACCCGAGCTCGCCGCAGCATCGCCGGGCCCGGCCCCTCGCGGCGGGGAGGCGGGGGCGGGTCCCCGTCCGGCCGCAGCGCTGCCCCCGGCCCGGCGGCGCACGGGGCTGCGGGGCGGGCTCCCCCCGCTCCCGCCTCCGCCCGCCCCCCGCGCGGGGCTGCAGCGGGCAGCGCGGGGCGCCGCAGCCTGCGGGCGGCCGCCGTGCCCGCCGCCGCCGCCGTGCCCGCCCCGCAGGTGGGGGCGCCGCGCGGGGCCCGGGGTGCCATGGACGAGCCGCCGCCGCCGCCCGCCTGATCCCCGAGGCCGCCGGCACCGAGACAAAGAGCGGGGCTGCGGCCGCGCCCGCCCGGTGAGTGCCGCGGGGGACCGGGGCGGGCGGGGGGCTCCGTCTTGCGCCGCGGCCCGGGAGTAGGTCTCGGTCCCGCTGCCAGCCCTCCCTGACACCCCCGGGCACCCCTCTCTCCGTTCACCCATTCACGCGCGGACACTCTCGTCCGCCAGTCCGCCAAGCCCAGCGCACCTACAGCATCCTCACAGCCTGCCTACCCTCAGCCCAGACTGCCCTCCCGGCCCAGACACACCCCGTGCACCCCCAGCATCCCCGTTCCTTGCCGAACGATTCTGCGCCCACTGCCCGAACCTGCCGGAGGACCCTGAACGACCCCCGTCACCCCAAACGCCCCCGCGCTCACAACCCGCGCGTCCCGAAGACTCCCGCACCACGCCCCTGTGCCCGACCGCCCAAACACGGCTCCCCGCCCCGGGCACCCCCGCCCCCGGACACTGCGCCTCCGTGCCCAACACCTGCCGCGACCTGCCCCTTTCCTGCACGAACGCAGCCCAGCCCAGGCACCCCCGGTGCGCCCCTCGCCCCTGCCCTGGGGACACAAAGGGGTCCGTGCGCCCGCTGCCCGCCCGCTCACCCGCCGCCGCTTTCTGCCCCGCAGGCCGAGCCATGGTGGAGCCGCCGGCCGAGCCTCCCCCGCAGCCCTGCCCGGCGCCCGGGGGGGCGGCGGGGGGAGAGCCGGCCCGTCCTGGAGAGCAGTCGCCGCTGCTGCACCTGGACCTGTACAACTTCGACTGCGCGGCGGCGGAGGGCAGCCGGTACGTGCTGACCAGCCCGCGGTCGCTGGAGGCCTGCGCCCGCTGCGCCGTGCGGCCCGTGGAGCTGCTGCCGCGGGCGCTCGGGGACCTGCTGAGAGAGGCGCCCGGGCGCTCCATGCGGGTGGCCGCCGGCCTCTACGAGGCCTACGAGCGGGAGCGCCGCCGCAAGCTGCAGCAGTGCCGGGAGGAGCGGGAGAGGATTATCCGGGAGGAGAAGAGGCGGATCCTCGGGCCCCTCGGCAGCCTGCCGCCTTCGCCCGCCGCCCGCGTCTCCTCCCGGGCTGCGGTCGCAGCTGCCGGTGGGCCCCGGACCCATGGCGGGGGGAAGGCCAGGGCATCGAGGGGTGCCAAGGGCAAGAGCCACTCCCTGGACTCCTTGCAGAAGCGCCGCGAGGGTAGCTGGGGCAAGACCTCCTCTGAGTCGGGCGCTTCGTCGTCCTACAGCGGGGAGAGCCTGCGGGAGCGCGGGGGCAAGGTGTGCGGCCGGGGTCGGGGGGTAGCCGCCTCCAATGGGACTCTGCTGGGGCGCAGCTTCAGCCTGGGCGACCTCAGCCACTCGCCACAGACTGCCCAGAGAGTCGAGAGGATCGTCAGGGAGGTGAAGAGGAAGAAGGGTCTTTCAGAGGTGCCAGAGAGGGACAAGAAGATCGCGGCACTGATGATCGCCAAGCACCAGGAGGCCAACCTCCTGCGGGAGCAGCGGCAGGCGGCTCACCTGCAGTGGGACAGCCAGCGGCGCCTGGCTGAGCAGCGGAAGGAGCAGGAGGAGAAGGAGAAGCAAAGGGCCCTCCTGCAGGGTCAGCGGATGTGGGAGAGCCAGGTGGAGAAGCGGCGAGGGAGACTGAACCAGGAGCAGGAGGAAGCTGCCCTGATGAAGCAGAAGCAGCTCCTGGTATGCGAGGAGAGGTGGCGGGAGCAAGCGGAGAAGCAGGAGCGGCTGCGGAGGGAGAGGCTGGAGAGGGCCATCAAGGAGGACAAGCAGAAAAAACTCCATCAAGAGCTCAACTTGAAGGCAAAGGAAGAGGTCAAGAAGGAGCACCAGGAGCGAGAGGAGCAGCTTCTGCAAGAGAAGCTGTCCACAGCTGCACAGAAGAGGCTGAAAAAGGAGGTGCAGCTGCAGAAGGAAAAGAGACTGTTCAACCAAGCAGAGAAGCTGAAGCATGAGGCCTTGCTCAAGGAACTGGCCAAGCAGGAGGCAGAAGAGAAGGAAATGCTGAAGGCATCCCTGAAGATGAGTTTGACAAAGGCTCAGGAGAACTACGAGCAGCTTGTGGAGAAGAGGAACCAGGAGCTGAGGGAGAAGGCCAGGCGTGAGGACATGCAGATCCAGAGAGCTAAACTGGCAGCAGAGAAGAAGGAGAGAGAGCAGAAGGAGCACTTGGAAGCACTGGCTAGAGAGACAGAGAGAAAGCTCCAGCATGCTGCCCAGGTGGCTGAAGAGGCTGTCCAAGAAAAAGCCCGCAAAGTGGTCTTGAGCCGTCTGGAAAAGGAAAAAGTGCAGAAGATGAACAAGCAAAAGGTGGAACAGTATGAGGACTTACGGCGCAGGGAAATTCTCCTCTCTATAGAGAGGAAGCTGGAGAGAAGTGAGCAGATCTTCAAGGAGAAGAAGACTGTCTTAGAAAATGCCAGGTCTGTTGCTCGAGCATCCTTCCATGTCCGGGAGAAGGTGCGGGAGGAGACGAACATGCGCACCTTTGACAAGATGGCCTTCGAAGCAGAACTGCATGCTCAACTTAGTAAGAAGTGAAAGATCTTGTCATGGGTGAGTGAGGATGCACCACTGGTTGTCCATCATAATGTGACAGAAAGCTCCTCGGCATGAGCATTTAAAAAACAACAAAAACCAACATCCACCCTAATTTCGTGTTTTGGGGGAGCAGGGTACCGCACAAAAATGTGGCAGCTATTTCACATACTGTTTTAAAAACATTTCTCATTCTGGGTGTGTTTTAGAGACTGACCTCAGTCATCTTTACAGAGAGGAAGCAAGTTTTTCTGTCCTCCACCCCACAAGCACATGCATTTTTTTCAGAGAGGGCTGCAAAATCTGCTTGAAGCCTCTGAGTTATTGATTGATTGTTTACACCAGAGATGACTACAGCTGCGCACTCCAGCGGGAAACGCAAACAGAGATTGCTGACTACTAGAGCCTGCTGAATAAGAACCAAAACCACCCCAGCTGATTCTGCCTACTGTGATGGGCAGTTTGGTTTAAGTCACGGGACTGCATTTTCAAAGCTGCTGCAATCCCATGCCGAAGGGAGGAAGGCTGGAGTACAGAATGCCATATACTCTGGGTGCCCCTTGGCTGGGGCCAGTACCAAGCTAGGGAAAGCACAGATCAAGGCCATGTAAGTGGACATCATGATCAGAGCTGGGCAGAAGCTGTCTGAAAGTGCACGCAAACACAATTTATTTTTTGCTGTTACCCCTCCCAAGGTATCCTCACCTCTCCTCCTCCTTTCCAAGGTTCTCTTACAAACATCTCTAGAATTCCTTCTTTTTTTTTGGAGGAGGGAGTAAAGGAGAGAAATTTGTGGACAGTCCACAAACTGACAAGTACCCACACAAGTCACCTGTTCATTAAGATATGAAAATGAATGAACCTGTAGAATCTGGACTTTTGGAGAAACACAGAGCTCACTTGTAAATGGAAATCACCACCCTCTGGAATTCTCAAAACTGAAGACCCTCAGCCACCTTATCCAATTTGCCCTGTCTTGAGCAGGAGGTTGGACCAGATGTTCTCCAGAGTTCCAAGCTTATAGTTCTCATGAGCTGCGTACAATGACATGTTCGCCCAGCTCTTATCAGTGTCTACTGAGCAGGGCAGCATTTCTCTGCCACTGGTGCTAAGAGTTGTATTCTTGTATAGAGCACAAGAAAGAGAGATGCACAAAATTAGGTACATTACAGATTCTCTTAGATGAGGATCATGTCTTTTTTATAAGAGCTAACTCAATACTATTTAGGGGGAACTGAGTTCTTCTGCAATTAAATGCACCAGAAATGTGAAAAACCTATCTGTGCCCTGTGTACAGCATTCAAGTACAACAGCATTCTGCTCCAGGTTTCCACATGGACTCTTTGTTGAGTTGGATTTGTAAGCACACATCTGAAGCAGGCACTTTATTTTGGTTTTTTTCTGGCTCCGGGCAGCATCAGCTCTCTGTTCCACCATCTGTGACGCCGGATTGGGTTGCTCTGATGATAGCAGTCAGACCTGGAGCATGGAGGAGAAGCACCAAGAAGAGACAGGATCTCGTCTCTTTGCGGATGTCTCTGACATAGAACACAGTAGAAGAGACAACCAGGAGAGGGTTGACATATGGCACAGACATGCAGTCTAGCATGCATAGATTGCTTACCAGAATTTCCCAGGAGGTAACAGCGGGTCAGAGCCCTCCTAGAAGGCTTCAAAGGAGTTGTTAAATGAACACTAACAATAGACCAAATACACTGGTGCCCTGCAAGACATTACACAGTGTTGAAAATTAAGACATAGGTATTTTTTTTATTTTTATAAGATTTGATCTTTGAATCAAAGTATGATTGGTGATGTTAAGGGCAGGCAGCATGAAAGTAGGAATTAGGGCACCTGAGCAGTGTTTGCTCTGTCAGTCATTGGCTCACTGTGTAATGCCAGGCAAGTCCTCAGAGGCTGGACCTGCTCCTATTGATATAAACGGAAGCAGAGTTGGGCTCCTGGGACTCACAGGAAATAGACTCTGATTGGCAAAGCACTTCAAAGACTTTGGACAAATGTTGCTTATAAAATACAAAGTAATATTTATTTATGTATTTATGTATTTATTTACTTATTTATTTATTTATTTGAGTGGTTATTAAAGTAAAACACCCCTCAGTGAAAAGCATAAACACCCAAATCTGGTAATTGTGGAAAGGACAGCTGCATTAGTGTTTCCAGCCGGGAGGCTATCCCCTTATCCTCAGCCTCAAAGCAGCAATCAGAACAGTGAAACAAATCCTGTTCTAACACTGGACAAGGTCCTTGAGAAAACACAGACTTCACATGTTGTCTGTGCCTCAGTGATTTGTGTGTGCCCTCGTACCTGCAAAGACCTAGAAAAGAGATGGTCAGTGGCTCAAATCCAGCCACTGGAAAACTGCCCTTGCTCCCTGACAGCACTAGAGTTGGGATAAAACCTGCAGTGACTCCAGCATAGCCAGTGTTTCATCTGATTTGTAGCCTTTGGGGCTGGAGAGAAAGCCTGCCAGCACATATATGAAGGGTTTTGCTTCCTGTGTCATTGCACTGGGTTTGAAATTCACTGCTTGGTTAATTTAGCAGAGGGACAAGGGGGAGAGATGGGAAACAGTGGAAAGAAGGCAAATGGTGATAGGTGAATGAGCAGGCAGCCTCTAACTGGGGGAGCATGTTTTCCCTAAAGCTCTGCTGCAATCTACATGAAGACTGTCCAAACCTCCCTCTGACAAGGGCATTTCCAGATGGAGAACATTCTGCAGCCCAGGAGACATGGCCACTGACTGTAATTACACCTGGGGTCCATCTCTTGCTGCTGACTGAGTTTGACACCTTGGGGCTACAGCTGAACTAATCAACACAAACCTACATGAAGGTAATTGGATTGGCAAACTAGTGTTCCTCTACTGTGCAGTGTACAGCTCAAGTTTTGAATGTGCAATCTGAGAAAAAATATTTTTTTTTCAAAAGACACTGATCTGTGTATGGATATTTTTTATTTCTGTAGTGGTTTAAGTCCTCAGTCCATGAAATTCAGTGAATTTTATGAGTTTAAAATTGGAACATGGGAAATTTAAGTCAGCAGTCTGGATGGAGGCATGAGGTATTTCTTGGGTCTATTTATGCTTTTGTTTATTTGTGAAGGAATTCTACTGCTGGATTTCTGTAGGAACAGAAGTTAAACCAAAGGTCACATGTAAAAAGTATGGCCCTTTTAGATGGGGCTTATTTGGTGTTTTTGCAATTGAGCTGCAGGTTAGGGAGAATCAAAAAAGCAATCAACATGGAGGAGAAGCACTGACTAAAGAGCAGTTTCTTTTGGCTGACCTCTGGAGGAATTTGGGAACAGAATGGAACACATTTTGCATGTTCAGAAATTCTTGTTTATGTGGACTGTCTAGGCTTTAATGGCATCTGGGCTGAAACTGGAGCCCTTCAGTGCCAGAGAGAGTGCCAACAATCTTACCTGTGTGCTTCCTCTTCACACAAAATTCATCACTAAAACTCATTCTCTCTGTCAAGGTTGAATTTGGCAGATATGTCTAAAAGCTATTAGGAGGAGCAGCTGCACCACCACTGGTTAATATTTTGCAAGGTAAATTTTAAGCCAGTTTGTACTAAGTTCTTTCTCCACATGCATAAGAGGCATGTGAGGATTAGATTTCTCGCCTTGGTTATCTATTTTCCTCTTAGGATGCTGTGGAGCTGCAGACTCATTCTTTGCTAAAATTTCTCCTGGTGCCAGGGGAATTCTGTTTGCCAAGAAAATGCTGAATATGCAGTGCTCACAGGTTTGATAGGGGACTTAGTTAAAGACATCTACATGTCTTTATTAAGCCAAGGCTGGACAGGGAGGTGTGGGAAACAGAATTTGCAATACATTGCCCGGCGTGTTATATTTTACCTGAGGATGGCTTCTCATTGCCGCAGTTGTTGCATCAAAGAAAGACTTGCTTTCAGCTGTGGGCGTTCTTCTGCAGGTAAAGACAAAAATGTAGTAGTTGAAATGCCATTTCAAACATGAGGTTTTTTTGGTTTGGGCTTTGTTTGGTCTTGTTGGGGTTTTGTTTTAAAGAAGATGCAGGGAGATGTAAGGATGAGATACAAAGCTAGTGAGATGCAGCACATTACAGATGGTAACTGGTGTCTTCACAGGTAGTTCTGCTCTGTGGGCCTGAGACTGTGCTGCTTAGTAGAGCAGCCACTACATCCAGGAGAGCAGAGGTGCTCTGGGAGGTGCTCTGTGATGTGTTCTCAGATCACACAGGCTCCCTTCAAAGCAATCCACTGTAAGCTCTAATGCTTTGCTGCTCCAAGGGAGTATAGTTTGTTAGGATTGGATTTAGCCTATATAGTTGTAAAAGAAGGCTGTCATAGGCAAAACACTGGCTTAGCCCAGTCCTTCTGGAAGGCAGCCCCGAGACACCTGCTTTGCAGTGCAGTACAGGGAGCTGATGGAGCTCTAATACAACTGCTTGGGGGAGTGCAGCCCCACAAGTCCTTGTCAAGCAAATAGCACCCACTCTGAAGAGCCAGTATAGAGGCAGGGTAAGAAAATCATAATGCTTCTGGCTTCTAGGCAGGCAGCAGCTCTGCCCTCCTTTTGGTGAGATATTACTAGGTGATTGTTTAAAGAGAAAACACTGGGAACAAGAGAAAAATGCAAAACTCTTCTAACCCAAGATACCTGGAAAGAGATTCTCCATTCACGGAGACCATCCAGCACTATAGGGAGGCCAGTCTTCAGAGCCTTCATAATGGAATATGCCTCATATCCCACATGCCTCTTAACACTAGGACCTGAAAAAAATTTGTTTGTAGAGGCCTGACTTCTTTGTCCTTAGCCCATTCTTTGAGCATGCATCTTTACTGTGAAACATTACCTTGTTACTGTAAGATTCTAGTCTGAAAGGACCCAAGTCTTTCTCCGGTAACTTTGCACTCATCTCCTGCATCCCTGCCATTCAGAAATCCTCTGCATTGCAAAACCACTCTGGCAGTAAGAATCATCCTGTATTACAAAACCAAACTGCCAGTGCTGTTTTGTTCTTATGTGCTTTACACAGCTCCCTGCATCTAATCTCAGGACCTGGCTGTGAGGTAAAACAGTTATCGCCTCCAGCCTAAGTACAAGCAAACTGAAGCAGAAAGAACTGATGTGATTTGCCCTGGGCCATGTTGGCCTCCCTGATCTAGCTGGAGCTCTCACTCACGTCCTCCCTAATCCCCATGCAGTCCTCTAATTGACCTCATCTGCTTACAGTGGAGGGATATCCCTGTGCCCCTGCTGTGGCAGCTCCCCTGACTCCTGATCTGCAGCTGGTGCTTCATGGAGGATAAAGGTTTTAAACCACCAGCCACCACTTCTGGGCATTGTCTCCAAACTCTGAAACACTTTTAAATAGGGGGTGGAGGAAGAGGGTCTGAAGGTTATATAAGGCTGCACTGGGAGCCCAGGACAGGAGCAGGGTGAGAGGAAGGTGCATGAGCAGAGATGGGCAGGAGCTACAGATGGAAATGTTAAATGAATGAGTAAACATGGACTGAGTATCCTTATAGCATCCTGGCTAGCTAGAATCACTTAGATCTCTATGTGACAGCATACAATAACACTTTCTTTCAGCACATTAAACTTACAGGGCCCAGTTCATCCCATTAGATACCTCTCTAGGGCCAGCAGAGTTATTCCAGGAGTGAATACAGTCTAGATATATTAAGCTTTTCATTATTTATGTAAATCACAGTGGCTTGGCAGAGCTTATGCTTTCAAGAGCTTGGTGGAAATTTCCTCCTGCCTGAGCAGTACCCAACGCAATGGGATGGGAGGGTCACATATCAGCTGATATTTTTAGACTGGGTGACAAATTTGTCAATACCCTGGTGCTGGACACTGTGTTCCTGGGTGTTTACAAAGCAGTGTCTGCTTAAGCAGCTCAGTGCAGTTGAGGGGA